AAAATAATTCTGCAATTACTTTGAAAAATTGTATTGTTATTTATTTATTTGTTCATTGTGGTCTGTATACAACCTGCAGCTTCCTTCTAAATGCCATAAAATCCGAAACAGCCGTATCTCTCCTTAAGAATTTCCTCGATAGTTAGATCGCAGGAAGACGTTTTACCTCCATTTCCAATATAAGAACAGCGATGGAACAATGAAATCCGACATTCTCAAAGATATTTCTCTCAGAGACGTCGGCTCCGCCGCGGCAATTGATCCTTCATCACACCAAACGGACAGTACGAACTTTTACGAAAGCTCCGAAGTGGAACGAAATTACGAGATTTTTTTCAGCGGAATGAGAGACACGCTGATCTTTTATAGTGCCATCGAAACTGTTCGAAACTGAACTGACTAACGACGAACAATAGACTTTCTAAAAATTCCTTTCGTGAATTGAAGAATTTCTTGCAACGGCACGCGCAAAGTCAAAACCTGCTGTAATTAATTAGAAAGCAATGCAATGGAAAGCCGTATTTTTTCACTTAGATTTGGGTCTCACTATCATCCTTTGTTTATTCTTTACCGATATTTTCCTCATACTTGAAACAAGTAAAGCGAGTTTCATTTCGATAGAAGATGAAAGAGGTAGGCGCGCTTGTCGCGCTTTATTCTACTTATTCAACGGATTCGTCCATTTCTACTTAGTGTCTGGCGCCGTCGAGCGCATTCAAGTTTTTTCCACTGGCACTGCGAGCGACGTGATTCACGCAGCGATGTCGGCTTATTTTAGTGAACGACGTAAATGCGGCCATTTGCAAAAAGGAGGAAACTTTCTAGACTAATATAAATCTCCTAATTGTCGAGGAATGCTTGATTTAGGTATAGTTACTGAGATTTTATATATTTGCCACAATTCGTCCATTTCTACTTTACCTCGCGCGTTCATTATTTATACAGTTAGATTTTTTTAAAGAAATAACAAAATTCTAACAATATATTATTAGCGAAAATAAATAATCAATTACATAAAAAACGCAAATACTCTTTTCGAAACATTGTAAAAAACGTATTGAAAAAAATGTTACAAATGTACAGAGATTGACAAATGTTTGATGATTTTTTTTTTGTTAACTGCCAGAAGTATAATATGATTATTAAACTTGTAATATGATACGTATAAGTCTATTTGATGTCCAAAATAACAACAATTGTATTTTCAACCACGAGGATAAAACCATATTTATTAAACTGAAATTGGTAAATTTGTGTACAATATCGCGTAAATTCAACAAAACGAAATCTATTGATTTATCTATAGTAATCTCTACATGTATACATTAATCTCATCGATCACGCGCGATTTCATATGTACGTTTATTCATAATCGACATTAATAAATCATTCACAGTTTATAAATTATAACTATTTGATATCATCGCGGTATAATGCAAATTTATGCAAAACCGGACTTGTTCAATCTCAGATGTTTGCATTCGTTTTATTGACATTGTAATTCACATTCATATGACTATCGCTTGTCTTACATTATGCATGCACTTTGTGCATACCGCTACCAGGGATAAGTAGCGGCGTAATTAGCGTGGTGTTAATAGTTTGTACTACTTGTTTGATACAATTCGCTTTCTTCTGCCGTGTAGCTCGCATTGCCTCGTTGAAACTCCACTTTGTCGTCTCGCAAAAACAATGGTATAATTTATATGATTTCCTAAAAGCACCAAGTGAATACAACCAGCGTCTCTGGAGAGATTTATTTGTCTTTAGCGGTATAAAATCGACGATAGTATTTCAAAAAGCTTGGAACATGCAGCATTATTAAGTTAATTACACAATAATTTACTGAAATATTTTATAAGAAAAAAGAGAAATTTAACACGCAATATGTCTCATCTAATAAGAATAATGGAAATAGAACAGTTTTGTGCTAAAATATCCAAAAATTTGACTAAATACAGATCTGAAAATAATATTATTGAATTATTAAAATAATTATATAGGATACTCAAGCTGGTTCCGACATTTTAGATTTCCTAAAATGTCAAAATATTTTGCAGCATTGCTCATCATATTTGAACATCCTATATATATTTATATATGTAATTATTTTGATAGCTCATTAAAATTATTTTCAAATTTATATCTAAAATTTTAAATATTTTAAAATAAATCTGTCTTTCCCCTTCCCCTTGTGCCATAAATCACGAAGAAGATTAAATAAATATTAAATTAACAATTTCTTCAAATAATTTGTATCTATATTGAAAGCTACATTTTTAACTAAACACGAGAAAAATAAATTATTAGATAATTTTATGTTTACAACCGTGTGTTATTTGTTGTCAATTTAATTTCATTAACGATAACACAAAGAATGAATTTTTTAACTAAAAATTTAACTAGGTATAAATCTGAAAATAATTTTGTTAGACCATCAAAACAATTAAGTAGGACGCTCAAGCTAGTTGCTAGATGTCAAAACTTTTTGCAGCACTGCTCATTATATTTCAGTGTTCTACATAATAATTTTAATAATCCGGCAAGGTTATTTCAGATCTGTATCTAACTAAATTTTTTAGATACTTCAACAAAATTATTTTTCCCGTATTCATTCAAAACTACATTTCTGACCATATATTCATGACGTATTTCTGCAGATCTCTTTTTCAATTTTATTTCTACCTTTGCACCAAGCACGCCTTGTTCGTTGACGCAACGACGTACAATAATGAGAAAAACAACGATCGTTTCTGTGATATACATATTCTCATTGTACATCGCGCAGTGGCGAACATTCGTTGCATAACATATTAAATGGAATAAAATAACGAGCATTTAGAATAAAGGAATGCGTGGCCTCTGACTCCTGACTTGCACTTGCTTTGCCGGACAGAATCCATGAAGTCGAAAATCCTCGGGAATCCCGCATCCTCGTTGCTCATACGTTACGGTTTCGCGCGTCTATTCTTCACCCGCTTTGCGGCTCGACGCCGCTGCCACAATATGCACGCATCCGACGTTACAATAAACGGATGACGAGCAGTATCCCATGTGTCTGGATCCCGCAGCTACATTGGGCGAAAATTTATACGCTATAAGGCGCATACCATCCGAATCCGTATATCCAGTTACTAACGAGACAGTACGAGCAAGCCGCTAACAATTGCATTAAATAAATTTGTACGTTATTGTTTTACACTGAGAGAAATGTTATGTATAACAATTCATTTTGTTAATATGTGATTAACAAAAACTTTCTTACTTTTTCATTAAAAAATATTGTCCAAATTTTGGTTGGAACAACAAAATTCTAACCAAATTTGTCGTTCTGATCAAAATTTAATTAGAATAATTTTAATTAGAATAATGACATTTTGATTAGGACGTACAACACAATTTTTAAATGAAAAAATAAGACAATTTTTGTTAGTCATATATTAATAAAATAGATATATGTACCAAACATTTCTCTCTGTATACTCACGTAAGTATTTACATATTTTACGAAATCGTGCTTTTTTAAGCACAGTATTAAAATATCGACACGATATTCTCATTTAAATTCTTAAAGAAAATAATATATTTGTAACATCCTTAACGATATATTCATAAACTTTTAAAATAATTGCATGCGAAGCATTTTTGAGATAATGTCTTATAGTAAGAAAACGATGTTGGCGAACAAATAAGGTATTTTGAGAGAAGAGAGTACTTTGGAGCAGCCTTTATTCTCGCCTTTTACACGGCTTCGTCATCGCTCAGCATATTGCGAATTTCCTGACGACGTTGTGGTTGGAAGTTTGCGAGTATTTGACCTTAACAACACACCATTTCACGCACCTATCCTTCCTGTATTCTATGACACGACAGGGTCGCTGTAAACGTGTATCCGGCGTTATAATAAACGTTGATGGGCCTCATCGCTCGCAGCTACAGCTGAATTCCGCGCGCTCGTTTTCAACGAAACCCAACCTATTATATAAACTCATGTTTTTGCAACCAAATTCCCGCGCGTGTTTAGCCAGAGCCCGCAAAAGCAAATATTAAATTCTCGCAAGTTGACGTTTAATTATTTCAAGATATATCTGACATACTTGTTACATAAACGTACACAGTGTCTCAAAATTACTGATAACATAAAATTGCTTCTTTCAAATTATGTAAAAAGCCAGTACTTTTTCAATTAAAATTTATTTCAACAAGCACTTTGTTGTTATACTTAATATAGATATTAAATTTTGTACGTTAATTATATTTAATATTAATTAAAATATATCACATTTTTTCTGTGTATATTTTTTAAATTTAATTTTTCATAATTTTTTTAATTTGCTCGTATCTTCTAATATTAATGATGCTTCAATATTAATATTTATTAAAAACTTCTTCTGATTTTTGAAACCTAAAATATAGATGAATTTGTAATTTGAACTGTAGTTTAACATAGATGTCTTATACTTTCATTTTATTTCTAAATAAAACAAACAAGAACACAAGATGCACAGGAAAATATTCTTGGTATATGAATGTTAGGTTATATTAAAACATCAATTTAAACGTCAACTTTATAATGAATGTTAATGAACATTATAGGGAGGGGGATATGTTCCGTTTCGCGCTATAAACATCAGTTCATCCTTGTTGTCTATCAAATATTAAACAAGGACAAATGATGCTTACACGCGTTGTAAGAGCAAAATGAAACGCATCCTAAACATATCAAAATAAAGCTGAGTATAAACGAAGCTAAATCTTCCAGCATGTAATCGTTCTGCAAAAAAATAAGCAAACAAAAGCGCCAAGACTGCAAAGCGAAATCTGTCGGCGCTCATAATGCCCAGCACAAAGACGCGTTATTCTGCCGAAAGAAATCCTCATAACGAACGTCATGGGCCGCAAAGGCTCGATGATTCTCCGGTTGCCTTTGTGCTGGGAAAAATCCGCGCGTTAAATTTAATGCTTGTCAACGGACGCCATTCTTCTTCTATCTGCTCTAGAGCCCGACGCCGCCGCAATACGTGTTCTGGTATCACAATAACCGGATGATAAACTACGACACCACGCGCGGCAGCGTGACCGTACAAACCGATCCAGGACCAACTCAAAGCCGACTGACGATTCGCCAGGCAGTGGAGACGGACACGGGCAATTACACGTGCAGCGCCTCCAACACCAAGCCGGCATCGATCTTCGTCTTTGTCACCGAAGGCAAGTATAAGCAACGTGTTTCGTACAAAGCGAACTTCCTTAATCAATATAACCCTATCGCGATTGTCCCGGCAGTCTCTTAACTACAATACCTTCTCCGAACGAGTATCCGTAATGATCCTCAGATGAACAAAATTGAAAACTTGCTTCAATCCGAACCGATATTTTATAGACATTTGATAGATTATATACTTGTACTCGAACTATATTTTTTAAGTAGATTTTTACTAAAATTCTCATTGAATATTTAACTACATCGAGATATTTAATATTGAAATTGCTGACATTGCGAAGAAAGATTAGGTACATCAATCATGATTGCATCAAGAATACATCGACTCAACTAAAATCGTCAGAAAGCCTGACTGGAGAAAAGATACGTGATTTCTAGCGGAATTTTCTGAGTCACGCGAAGAAAAGTAAATCCACTTTTAAATTAAAAATGTCACCATTCTGATTGAAAATATTTATTCTCCCTATCCAATGTTTCTCTCATATATATATATATATATA